TGCCACGACCGGTATGGCTTCAGTTTTGAACACCGGGTCGCAGTTGCAGTGGTAAAGGCATCTGGCTTCTGGCTGTTATAGCCGAGGTCACCGGTTCGATTCCGCTTGGCTGTGGAACGATCATGGGCTACAATGCTATACTCACTACTGACAATAGTATCCAGTTTAACTCAGTTGCTTTCTTCTCAATTTTTTGAATTTTTTTCTGGGTATTTATATGCTTGTGTCGGTACGGTATGCTACTATGACTTGATGACAGCTCGCTATGTCCTGGGGGGTCTGTGGAGGGGTTCCAACGACTTCGGGCCTTGCCGCACCACTCGCCAAATGCATAAGAACAAAAAAAAGGACCAAAATTATGGCAGAGCATCTTTCCATGTTCTCAAGGAAGGTTCATGCTCATTTTGCACATTTTTGCTGAGGGATGCAGCGAGGCCCTTCGTCACATCCAGACCTCTGGATAGAGAATTTGGGCCTGGAATAGAAAATACACAAGACCTGTTCCCATACCCCAGCTGGCCTACCTTCTTCAGCCTTATACAATGTACAGTCATTATCTCGCTGTATTTAGACTGAAAGATATTCCAAATACAGCTATAATGACCACCATTACTTGCCATTATCTCCTGTATTTTTAGACTGAAAGGGAGGGAACCCCAACAACAGCTATAATGACCGTACTTCGTACTCGGGCAAAAAAAAAGAAGATAGCTCAGTTGGTACACTGATGAACTGCTGCTGTAGTACAGGCCCGGGTTCGAGCTCCAATGACGTCCGATTGGGAAAAAGGAACAAAGCCTTTGTTCCCGTTCTCTGTTCTTCCTCCCTCCCCCAACTCCCCTTGCTCAAATCACTTCGGTTTCCACTAAATTTCTAGTGCACTAGTGCAAGACGCACACCTTTCTAGGTGCAAGACGCACACATGAGACAACTCCGAGTCCATTTAAAAAAAAAATAATCAAAATGTGAGATCAGAATCAATTTCAATGAACTCTTGCAGTGTAATTAAGGCTTCCTGCAGTGCATCGATGTATATATATATATAAAATATATATATTTGACGATATATATCGTCAAATAGAACTGCCCGGTAAACCGTAGGCAGAGAGGGAGAAGAGGACAACAAACGAGGGGCTGTGACAAACTGTTTCGTCGGAGTTTCACCGACTCATTAACTATCGCCAGAAATGCTAAAGGCCCAACAGGCCAACTTTTGCAATTACTTGAAATGCGTCTGGACAATATAATATTTCGTAGCTTCTATTGCTTGAAAACGTGATTTATTAGCTTCTTGAACTATAAGATTGACTTATATATATAACTTATTATAAAAGTGACATTTATAAAAAGTAAAATCGACATTCACATTTTTTTTTAACAATGCCAATGGGGGCTTGAGCACTTACACTCTTCCAGCATACTTGTCAAAGCAAGTGGCAGTGAGCCTGCAGACAACAGAAGACAAAGTCGTCAGCAACATGCACAACTCTTCTTTTCTCTCTCTTTTCATAGAAAGAGAGGAGGTATCTCAAGTTCTGAATGCTGCACACAAAGGCAACACACTTTTGTATCAAAGACTCTAATTATTCACAAGGAGATGCGTGTTGATGATGGCTTTCAATATAACCACCATCACTCTCGTGACTCGACCTGGATGGTTTCAAAATGGTAAGCTCTCACTGTACGATTGATTGATTGCTTGTTGATTGTTGATTGATCGATTGATTGATTGATTGATTGATTGATTGATTGATTGATTGATTGTTGACTGCTTGTTGCTTGATTGCTTATTGAGCGCTTGTTGCTTGCTTAATGATTGCTTCTTGATTGATTGATTGCTTGTTGATTGCTTCCTTGTTGATTGCTTGCTTGTTGATTGATTGATTGATTGTTGATTGTTGATTGATTGATTGATTGATTGTTGATTGCTTGTTGATTGCTTGTTGATTGCTTGTTGATTGCTTGTTGATTGCTTGTCGCTTGATTGCTTATTGAGCGCTTGTTGCTTGCTTAATGATTGCTGCTTGTCGATTGCTTCTTGATTGATTGCTTGCTTGTTGATTGCTTGCATGTTGATTGATTGCATTGCGTGTTGGATTGATCGACTGCGTGTTGATTGCTTGCGTGTTGATTGCTTGCGTGTTAATCGATTGCGTGTTAATTGATTGCGTGTTGATTGATTGAGTGTTGATTGATTGCTTGTTGGCTGCTTTCTTGTCGATTGCTTGTCGATTGCTTGTCAATTGCTTGTCGATTGCTTGCCGATTGCTTGTCGATTGCTTGTCGATGCAAGAGCAATATAGGTTCTTGAATTCTCTAGTTTGTTTGTAAGTCAATACTAGTTAATAAGATTAGTAATATAGTATTAGGGCAATGTTTCCACCTCTTTCTTTCTTTCTTTCTTTCTTTCTTTCTTTCTTTTCCTATGTGACCACTGAACACTTTTTTTAATGGTATAGACCAGCTAGCACACAGATGTACCAAACCGTTTATCCCCAAACAATGATACAGTCAGTGGTACTGCATTTTTTTCTTCCTAGAGTCAAAGAAAATGTGCTTGGACTACCGTCTTCACCCGAATAGAGTGGCCACTCATTGTCGCTATATGTAGAGTGGAAATCACTGCAAGTTCACGTATAATGAGCAGGCGTTCTATCGAGATGAAGACAATAGACCTGGTCGTATGCCTGAGACTCTGTGCTCGTCAGAGAGGTCTACGACTCTACGTTACATATCTTTCCTCGTTCCAAATATCGACATGGACTGCAGAGCGATAACCGCAAAAGAAGCGCTCAATTTGCATCAGGAGGGGAGAAAGGGTCAAGACCGAGACATCTGCGGAATGATAACCACAATAGAAGCGCCAATGACACAT